ATTACCGGCGGAGAGAGCTTGAGCTTTGGTCTGCTGAGAGGCTCTCAAGGCGACTATGGATCCGCAGGTGCGAGAGGTGATGGCCGGAAAGAACCTCCTTCTGTTCCAGGAGATGGCTCGTGATGCAGGGGTGGAAGACCCTTATCTCTTTAAGGACCTGATTCGGGGGTTCTGTGGGATAGGTTCGCTGCCTCCGTCGGGGCAGTTCCCAAAGAAGCGCATGCCGGCCGTCTTGGACGAATCGTAGCTGAAAGCCACGGCTCGATGGTCCAAACACCTTGTCGAGGCATCGTGCAAGAAAGCATCCCAGACCTAGATGTTGCCAGAGCGGTGTGGGCCGAGACGCTTGAGCAAGTCGAGAATTCTTGGAGGAAAGGGCCGTTTTTCTGGGCCGAGATCGAGAAAAATATACTGGCTGCTGGATTCCTTCGGTCCAAACACCTTGTCGAGGCATCGTGCGAGAAAGCCTCCCCAGACTTGGATGTTGCCAGAGCGGTGTGGGCCGAGACGCTTGAGCAAGTCGAGAACTCTTGGAGGAAAGGGCCGTTTTTCTGGACCGAGATCGAGAAAAAAATATAATGGCTGCGGGATTCCTTCGAAACGCTTTGGGGTGGCCCAGTCCGACAAGGTGTGGAGTGTGGACGACCTCTCAGTGTTTCTTATTAACTCCGCCGTGACGGAGACGGAAAAGATTACCTTGGAGGGCATTGTTCATGTCGTTTCCCTAGCGCGGTTCTTCCTGGGAGCCACGACGGCTCGGTTTCGACGTTTCGCCTTCCTGCTTCCGATGGGCACTGGGTAACTGGGAGTCTGCATTCCGACTGGCGGGGAGGCAAAGCTCGTCTTCTGCGAGGACGGTTGGGCCTCGATCGTGGCGTACTCAACCCGGACTCAAGGGAGGTCAGCTACTTCGAGGCAGTGGCTTTGCCTTTCGGCGCAGTGAGTGCGGTTACCGGCTTTAACCGGGCGGCCCGGGCTTTGAGGCGAATCTTTTCGCCTTGCCTTTCGATCGGGTCTTCAACATGCTGGGTGCCACCATTTCCTTCGAACGCGCGGCCAAGGGAGATGTCTTGGGGAAGAACAACCGGGGCGCCTCGAGGCCATTGAAGAGGTGGTCATGCAGTGTGTTTCAGAGGGTCGGTGTGATCGGAAGAGAACGTTGTCCGTCAACGGAAAGCTTTTGTTCGCTGCTGGGCATGTGTTCGGGCGGTGCGCCCAGTTGGCAACGCAACTCATGTCTCATCGGGGAAATGTTCGCCACCCGGGCCGGGGACATGTGGAAGATCTGCTCAATGCCCTGAGGTTTGCCTTGGAAATCCTTAAGTCCGGTGGACCTAGGTGCGTGGGCGCGTGGTCGCAACAGCCTCCGGTGCTCATCTTCACGGACGGTGCGTGCGAGCAGGAGGGCAACCTGGTGACGCATGGTGCCCTCTTGTTCGATCCTGTGACAGTACGCAAGGAGGTATTTGGCGATCATGTCCCAAAGCGCTTGGTTGAACGATGGAAGGATGGAGGCAAGAAACAGGTGATTTTCTTTGCGGAGAATCTTCCAGTGGTGGTGGCTAAAGAGCTCGGTTCACCTTTATCTGGTCC